GAAGTTACTTTCAGCAGATGAAAATCCATTCTTTCTTCTACTTTATTTTCAAGCTATGGTTGATTGGAGATACTTTCAAAGAAAACATTATTTCATTCTATCATTAAGTTCAGCTTAAGCCATATTTCACGACAAGAGGAAAACCTGCTTCAGTTTTAAGGATCAGCGAAGTGGGGAAGAACTCAAAAGGAATTACCATGAAAGGTAGATTAACGGAAACACGGCCATGCATAATTCAGATGTTCACGAGGTTCAGCACCACCAAAGCATGTACTGCACTTCCATCGGTTCTAATTCATGTCGTGAATAAGTCTCACTGAGACTTGAAGAAACTGTGGTTTGAAATGCAAACATTTTCCTCCTCTTTTCCTAAAGTAGTGGCCTACTCATCCAACGAACTCTTTCCTTCCAGCATCTGTGAGGGCAGATCCTGCTGACACTGCCTTCTCGTGTAGTTACGTACATCTTGGTGATCAAAAGTGAAACAGAATTTGTCCTCGTGTTTAAACATTTAAACATACAGAGGTCCTGGATGTGAAACCTCTTGCATTGTTAACATCAACATTCAATTGAAATGCAAAATTAACTTCAGCTTTGTGCCGCTACAATCCAGCCCAGAACCTTTTGTCTTCTCGTCTGTTGTCCAAAAATATAAAGATTAGAATATACAAAATTATAATTTTGCCTGTGGTTCTGTTTTGGTGTGAAACTTGTTCTCTGACATTAAGGGAGCAACATAGACTGAGGGTGTTTGAGAACAGGGTGTTGAGGGGAATCTTTGGACCTAAAAGAGATGAAGAGACAGGAGGGTGGAGAAAACTGCATAATGAGGAGCTTCATAACTTTTACTTTTCTCCAAGTATAATTAGAATGATCAAGTCAAGGAGGATGAGGTGGGTAGGGCATGTAGCAAGAATGGGGGAGAAGAGGAATGCATTTAGGATATTGGTGAGAAAGCCAGAAGGAAAGTGACCACTGGGAAGACCAAGGCGTAGGTGCGAGGACAATATTAAAATTGATCTCAGAGATAGGTTGGGATGATACGGATTGATCTGGCTCAGGATAGGAACCAGTGAAGGGCTCTTGTGGACACGGTAATGAACCTTCTGGTTCCATAAAATACTGGGAAATTGTTGAGTAGATGCAAAATTGGCGGCTCCTCAAGAAGAGCTCAGCTCCATGGGTAAGTGAGTTTGGCCACTGGACATGAGATCACGTGCCCTGATTGACTGCGTCTGTAGCTGTTTCTAACCTTTTTCCGTATTGTTTTCTTTTCGTACCAAATAGGCATATTTACTTTTCTTTCTTCTGGTGCACCGAATTCTCTTAGTCACAGTGGATTTGTACAGGGTGCGTCAGAAAGAATGGATGGATTTCACGCAACGGTCGCTTGAAATCCATCCATTCTTTCTGACGCACC